GAGTTGATCATGGGGAGGGTTTGCCAAGCGTGCCTTCCTCTTAGCGCATTTCTTATAAACGCCATCTCCAACTCCTCAAAAGATTCCATCAACAGCGTCTCCGAGAAATTCTACACATCACCTGGGAAGACAGGCGAACTCATGCCAGTGTACTGGAAGAATCAAAGATGTTGGAGTAATGATCCGTCAACATCAACTTTGTTGGACTGGTCATGTTGTGCAGATGTCTGATTATCGTATTCCAAAGCAACTACTCTATTCCGAACTTAAAAATGGAAAGTGTAACGCTGGTGGTCAACAAAAGAGGTTCAAAGACTCTCTCAAGGCAAATCTAAAAAAATGTAGTGTAAACACTAACAACCGGGAAACACTGGCTTGCGAGCGCTCTAAAAAAATGTAGTGTAAACACTAACAACCGGGAAACACTGGCTTGCGAGCGCTCCAATTGGCAACCACAGTATCCATAAGGATATAAGGAAGACTTGCAGGATCAGGCCAAAGACCCATCTAGTCTAGCGTCCTGTTCTTGATCTAAGGTGGCAGCTGAAAAATGGAAGAGTAATGAAATCCCCTCTATACAAGATTGGACCCAAAAGCTGACAGAATATGCCGAATTAGATGGTTTATCAGAAAAAAATAAAGAATAAATCAAAACAGGAATTTGTTTCAAAATGGGAGGTTTTCAAAGATTATCTGAAAAATAAATATAGTAGTTTAAATTCTGTTGCAGCATTCGAGGAACTTCAGTAATACTTGCAAGGTAGATATAAGAAATTAGATTTATTGAGAATAAGTTTAATTATGATAAAAGCGTGTACTGGCAAAAAGTAATATGAATTTGAAATATGGAATAGACGGGAGGTTGGGTCTTTAGTGTTAAGACCAATAGATGTTGTCAGGGCTGCCTCAGGTCCCAGCTCACAAGAGACCAACGCCAAGTCCACTTTATTTACAAAAGTCTTTATTTGAAGTACATTGTTTCTTCCACAGCCGAGGCGCGCAGCCCCACGTCTGTTACCCTTAGACCGCTGAAGTCCCCTCTGAATCGGTCCCGCCTCTACACCAGTTTAAGAGGCTTGTGCTAGTCCACCTCTTCCTGTCCTTCCTTTTCCGCAGGGTCTTTCTGCCCCCCTGGGTTCCTTCCCTCCTGCTTTCCCCTGACGCTGAGTCCCCAGATGCCTGCTCCCCCCTCCTTCGTGCTTTGGGACCAGGCTCCTCCTCCGGGCTCTCTGCATTTCCGCGCGCCTCCACATTTGAACTTGGCGCGCGTTCGCTACCCCTGACCTTCCTCTTGACAGTTACACTACTCCCTGTACTACTCTCTGCCCCTTCCGGCAGGACGTCTTGCCCCGATCTCCTTCCCCTGTCTCCTTCCTGCTCTGCTCCGTGTGTCACACTGGGAACTCCCCCCTCTTCACTCCGTTCCTGCTGGGAAGCCGGCCCCGATCTCCCACTCCCACTCGGGGTTTCCCTGCTGCTTCCCTGCTCCTGGCAAGTCCCCCCTGTGACCCCCCTTGGCTTGACCAGGGGCGCCCCCTTCTGGGAATCCTCCGATTCACTTGAGAGACTCATGGAAGACCTCAAGTCATTGTCATCCTCTTCCTCACTGTCCTGGGATTCTTCCCCATCGCTCTCCGTCTCCTCCCTCACCTGTGCCTCTGTCCCTGAACCCCTGACAGATGTTTTATTGTTTGCTAAGTAAATTATGTGTCTATGGTTATTTTTGTAATTTGTGTGTAATTTGGTATTTGTTTGTGTGTGTTTTTCTTGTTGTATAAATAAAAAACTTTTTTAAAAAAGGTGGCAGCTGAAACGGCTTGTTCCCTGCCCTTTTTTTGTTTCGTTTCCTAAGTTAAACACAGTTATTGCTTCGATAGCCTTGGCCTTAAGGCGGTTTGCGCGTGTGATTTTCTGACAGGCAGAGGCAAAAGAGAGCCATTTGTTAAAACAAATTGGGCAAACCGAGCCTAATAGTTGCATAAACTACACAGGGCTCTTGTTCAAGGGCAAAGCCGAAAGGGGATTAAGAGGCCATCGCTAATGAGGTTTTCCTGCTCCTTGAAATTATATCCCTCCCACAATGTGCTATAGGCTGGGGGTCGAAGCCCCAATTTGCTTCAAAAGATCTGGGCCCCTGAACACAGACAAGCAAAGGGAGTAACTGATATTCTTAACATATATCCCATACTTGAAGCCACGTCCAGATAATAATCCCCCTTCCTTGCCCGTATGGAGAGCTCTCAATGACACAAAACGCGAAAACCTTTTAGCACGGGAGAGATTTGCTGTCTGAGCTGGTTTTCTAAACGTTCCCATCCTTCAGGAGTGAGGGAAGTTTTCAGTCCAGAGGATATTTCCAATGGAACAACATTCCTTGGTGGGGCTGTTTGCCCAGTGGTGGGTGGGACCAGGGGGGAAAGGTGGGGAGGAAGAGAGTCAAAAGTTCGAGGAGCAAAAGACATAGTTCTTGCCTTTGTGCAAACCCCTACATTCCAGTTGTTGCAAAAGTCAGGTGCTTCAATATCCCACACATCCCTTGATCCATGGGTGTGTTGTTGTTGTTCTTTGGTCGTTTAGTCATGTCCGACTCTTCGTGACCCCCTGGACCAGAGCACGCCAGGCACTCCTGTCTTCCACTGCCTCCTGCAGCTTGGTCAAACTCATGTTAGTAGCTTCAAGAACACTGTCCCACCATCTCGTCCTCTGTCGTCCTTGTGCCCTCCATCTTTCCCAACATCAGGGTCTTTTCCAGGGAGTCTTCTCTTCTCATGAGGTGGCCAAAGTCTTGGAGCCTCAGCTTCAGGATCTGTCCTTCCAGTGAGCACTCAGGGCTGATTTCCTTCAGAATGGAGAGGTTTGATCTTCTTGCAGTCCATGGGACTCTCAAGAGTCTCCTCCAGCACCAGAATTCAAAAGCATCCATTCTTCGGCGATCAGCCTTCTTTATGGTCCAGCTCTCACTTCCATACATCACTACTGGGAAAACCATAGTGTTGACTATACAGGCCTAGGTGATGTCTCTGCTTTTTAAGATGCTGTCCAGGATTTTTGTTCTTTTTTATTGTTGTTGTTGTTAATGCATAGGACCTCCCTATTTTCATCAGGGAAATGCTGGAGGGGATGGAATAGGACGTCCCTACTTTCATGGGAGAAATGTTGGAGGGCATGGAAGAGAACGTCCCTTTTTTCATCAGGGAAATGTTGGAGGGTTGTTTGCAACTGTATAGCTGAGTTCTTCAGGAACCCCTGGAACAAAATTGATTGTTTTTTGTTTGTTTTTAAGAGTGCGATTTTATTCCAAATGCAGAAACCTGAATTTCCTTGAGGCGGGATTTGCGGGGAGCGAGGACATTTGCACAGATTGCAGCTGGTACTTTGGACGTGGGAGACATCCCACAGACTTATGTAAGGATCCGGTTAGTTAGACGATGAACCAGAAGGCTGCAAAAATCCCATCCATCTCTTTCCCCAAACTAAGCATAGGAACAGAAAAGGCATGTGCTACCCTCTTCAGGTAGTGACACCAAACTGCATGCAAGCAATTTTTTAAAGGACATAATTTTCATTTATATTCAACTCTATTTTTTCTCCACAGAGCTTTGCACAAGTTTTAAGTCGAGCCTTTAGCCTATCCCATTACGGCTTTGACATTTTGTACCTTTTAAAATCATGGCCACTGGGCCTATCACCTCCTGGCAAATAGAAGGGGAAGAAATGGAGGCAGTGAGAGATTTTGCTTTCTTGGGCTCCATGATCACTGCAGATGGTGACAGCAGCCACGAAATTAAAAGACGCCTGCTTCTTGGGAGAAAGGCGATGGCAAACTTAGACAGCGTCTTAAAAAGCAGAGACATCACCTTGCCAACAAAGGTCTGTATAGCTAAAGCCATGGTTTTCCCAGTAGTGATGAATGGAAGTGAGAGCCGGACCATAAAGAAGGCTGATCGCCAAAGAATGGATGCTTTTGAATTCTGGTGCTGGAGGAGACTCTTGAGAGTCCCATGGACTGCAAGAAGATCAAACCTCTCCATTCTGAAGGAAATCAGCCCTGAGTGCTCACTGGAAGGACAGATCCTGAAGCTGAGGCTCCAATACTTTGGCCACCTCATAAGAAGAGAAGACTCCCTGGAAAAGACCCTGATGTTGGGAAAGATGGAGGGCACAAGGAGAAGGGGACGACGGAGGACGAGATGGTGGGACAGTGTTCTCGAAGCTACCAGCATGAGTTTGACCAAACTGCGGGAGGCAGTGGAAGACAGGATGTTTTTACTGCCCGGGCAACTTTTTCTGACTGCCGTATGGAAAAGCACATGAATCAGACCTTTGAAGAGTTTTGTAAGTATATTGCAGCTTACAGGAGGGCCTGGCGTGCTCTGGTCCAGGGGGTCACGAAGAGGCGGACACAACTAAACGACTAAACAACAACAACAACCTTTTAAAATTGCTGCTGCAACATTTTGCTAGTGGTAGTCTTATTGAGGTTTTTTAAATGAATGAATGAGTGAGTGAGTGAGTGAGTGAATGAATGAATGAATGAATAAAATAAAATAAAATAAAGTTTTATTGAATTTTTTTTTTATCATTTTCCATAAATCACATCGAGGTTTGCTGCTTCCCAAACACAAAATCAATGCCATTTTTATTCTCTCTCCCGTCAATAATAATAATAATAATAATAATAATAATAATAATAATTTATTTATACCCCGCCCATCTGGCTGGGCTTCCAATTAAGCCCCGCCCTCCGAGGCCCCGCCCTCCCACTATCCCCCAATCCCAACCCGCCTTTTCCCCTAATCCCCGCCTCTCCCTCCTTCCCAACATTCTCTCCCTTGCAAGGTAAAAAACAGCGGCGGGAGCTTAGACGGAAACCTCCGGCAGGGGGCGATAGACTCCTTCGCCCTTCTTCCTCCTGGGTCTGCGTCGCTCTAGGAACCTCGGCCTCCGCGCTGCAGGGAGAGGAAGCGGAAGCGGCCGGGGAGCTTCCGGTTCGGGACCGGAAGCGCCGGAAGCCACGCTGTGCGGCTGCAGGGGAGGGTCGCGCTCCGTGTCTGAATTGCTCGTCAGGCGGAGGGTGTGGGGCTGGGGGGGCTGTGGGGGTGCGGCCCTCGCCCCCGCCCCAATGGAGGCTGCTGGGGTGGCCCCTATCAGAGCCCAGTGAGTATTAGGGTGCCCCCCTCCGCACCCCAAACCTTCCCTAGACCCCCCTCCCTCCTTCCCTGCCCAGGTTCTGCACCCCAGGGAACATAGGAAGCCGCCCTAGACTGAACCCATTGGTCGCTCTTGCTCATATCTCCTGCACTGACAGGCAGCGTCTTCCCTGGGGTGGGGGGCGTGTGACCTTGGAATGCTAATCATAATTATAATTATAATTTATTTTCTATACCCTGCCCATCTGGCTGGGTTTCCCCAGCCACTCTGGGCAGCTCCCATTAGAATATCACCAAGGGCCTGCCCAGTCCTAGGCTGATACCCTAATAATAATAATAATAATAATAATAATTTATTATTTATACTCTGCCCATGTGGCTGGGTTTCCCCAGCCATTCTGGGCAGCTCACATTAGATTACCTTGGGCCTGCCCAGTCCTAGGCTGAAGCCCAAATTATTATTATTATTATTTTATACCCTTCCCATCTGGCTGGGTTTCCCCAGCTACTCCGGGCAGCTCCCATTAGAATATCACCATGGGCCTGCCCAGTCCTAGGCTGATGCCCAAATAATCATAATCATAATAATTTATTATTTTATACCCTTCCCATCTGGCTGGGTTTCCCCAGCCACTCCGGGCAGCTCCCATTAGAATATCACGATGGGGCTGCCCAGTCCTAGGCTGATGCCCAAATAATAATAATAATTATTATTTATACCCCGCCCATCTGGCTGGGTTCCCCCAGCCACTCTTGGTGCCTCCCAGCAGAATATTATACACACGGTAAATACATCAAACATTAAAAACTTCCCTAAACAGGGCTGCCTTCAGATGTCTTTTAAAAGTCAGATGGGAGGGCGTTCCACAGGGCAGGAGCCACCACCGAGAAGGCCCTTTGCCTGGTTCCCTGTAACCTCACTTCTCGCAGGGAGGGAACCGCCAGAAGGCCCTCGGAGCTGGACCTCAGTGTCTGGGCTAGAAAATGGGGGTGGAGACGCTCCTTCAGGTATACTAGGCCAAGGCCATTTAGGGCTTTCAAAGTCCACCAACTGGGGGGTTTGAACCCAAGGCCTTCTGCATGCAAAGCAGGGAGCCCTCCTCTCCACTGACTGTAACCCCCCCCCAAAAAAAGAAAACCAACCACCTTCATTTTCCCCTTCAACACCCCCCCCCCCAATTTCAGGCTGCTGACCCTGGCTCCTGCTGGATCTGCTTCCCCTCTCAACCCCCAGTCCAGTAGGAAGCCGTTAAAAGCAACAGCGCAGGGCAGCAGATCGGCACTGGGGGTTTTTTTTTATTGGTGTAGCCTAGGACTTGCCGATCAGAAGGTCAGCGGTTCAAATCCCCGCCACGGGGTGAGCTCCTGTTGCTCGCTCCCTGCTCCTGCCAACCTAGCAGTTCGAAAGCACGTCAAAGTGCAAGTAGATAAATAGGTACCGCTCCGGCAGGAAGGTAAACGACATTTCCGTGCGCTGCTTTGGTTCGCCAGAAGCGGCTTAGTCATGCTTGTCACATGACCCGGAAACTGTACGCCGGCTCCCTCGGCCAATAAAGCGAGATGAGCGCCGCAACCCCAGAGTCGGCCAAGACTGGACCTAATGGTCAGGGGTCCCTTTACCTTTACCTTAACTGGTTGAAAGCCTCTGAATGGTGGTGGTGGCTTGTTTTTTAACAAAGTTTCCGATCAGATAAAAATAGCGATTGGCCGGTTTTAAAAAGCGGGAAGGTGAGGAGGGTTAAACTCTCAGTCACTTTGCAAAACAGACCATGCACATCCCCCAACAGAGCTCTTTGCCTAGAAAAAGCTGCCTCATGCCCAGTTGGAGCACATTTCTGTCGGAGGGACTGTGCCATGGTCTAACGCAAAGCAGGGAGGGTCTTCCCCAGTTTAGAACCTTTCCGAGGAAGATGAGCCTGGAGTTTCCCCACATGCAAAGCACACACTCTGTTATAGAGCTGTAGCTTCTGATAATCTGCCTAGCAAGTGGTGCAGCAATAAAACCCCTAGCACATTTGCAGAACTAAGCCAGGTTTCAAATTGGACGAGGGGGACGACTGCATTTTGGGAATTCTTGCATTGCAGGGGGTTGGACTAGATGATGCTCGGAGTCCCTTCCAACTCTATATTTCTATAACAATGGTTGCAAAGCAAATGGTATCTCAGTAGCTTTGCAACATGGGCAGCAGGGCTTCCTTTACAGGAGGATCCCAACTCCTATGAATGCCTCTGTCTGAATGTTTCCTAAACCCATGACCTTCGTTCATGACACATATCTCTGATGGGTCATTTTCTCTTTTAAAAAGATAAACACGTATGCATGGAGCTTCTTGGAGCATTTGTGTGGGGTTTTCATTTTTATTTCAGAGCCCACAGTATGGTGTAGTGACTAGAGTATTAAACTAGGACCTGGGAGGTAAAGGTAAAGGGACCTCTGACCATTAGGTCCAGTCGTGGCCGACTCTGGGGTTGCGGCGCTCATCTCGCTTTATTGGCCAAGGGAGCCGGTGTACAGCTTCCGGGTCATGTGGCCAGCATGACTAAGCCGCTTCTGGCGAACCAGAGCAGTGCACGGAAACGCCGTTTACCTTCCCACCGGAGCGGTACCTGTTTATCTACTTGCACTTTGACGTGCTTTCGAACTGCTAGGTTGGCAGGAGCAGGGACCGAGCTACGGGAGCTCACCCTGTCGCGGGGATTCAAACTGTCGACCTTCTGATCGGCAAGTCCTAGGCTCTGTGGTTTAACCCACAGCATCACCCGTGTCCCTAGGACCTGGGAGACGTGGGTTCAAATCCCCTCTCAGCCATGAAGCTCAGTGGGTGACCTTGGAGTCAGTCACAGTCTCTCAGCCTTCACAGGATTTTGGGAAGGATAAAACGGGAAGGAGGCAGAGGAACATGTATGCAATCCTGAGACCACTGGAGAAAAGATGGAAAATTAATGCAATAATAAATAAACTATTAAAAAGTTCTTGGTGGTTGGGGTGCAGATTCTTCTGATGAGAAATATTTTTGTCACCGTGTGGTAAAACAGAAGCCTTATACAGTGGTACCTTGGTTCTTGAACTTAATCCATTCCGGGCGTCTCTTTGACTCCCAAAACCGTTTGAAAACCAAGGCATGGCTCCCGATTGGCTGCAGGAGCTTCCTGCACTCAGTTGGCTTCCGTTTGGCTTCCGAGAAACGTTCACAAACCGGAACACTTAGTTCCAAGTTTGCAGCGTTCAGGAGCCAATTTGTTTGACAACTAAGCCGTTCGGGAACCAAGGTACCACTGTATTTAAGTTCTGATTTAAAAATCGGTATATCACAAAAATGTAGCCCTCTACTGACTTAACCCCCCCTCACTGTCTGCATGAAGTATCACTCGTAGATGATGTGGTGTGGACACAGAGCTTCACAACCCTTCTCCCCTATAGGTACCTCTCTACAAAAGAAAAGTTCCACACGTACCTTGATCAGGAAGGGGAGGTGACGAATGAGAAAGATGGCGATGTGCTGGCTGCAGAGGACAGTGCAGAGAATAATACCAGTGGAGACCTGAATGAGCCTCCTGCCAAACTGCAGAAGCTGGGAAAAGATGAAAGCAATGCAGAAGAAAAGAGCCCGCCGGAAGAGGAAAACAGAACTGCGAAGGATCCTCGGGGCCAAAAGAGGGCCCGGGGACAGAATAAGGGCCGCCCTTGCATGAAGCCGACTCAGTACGAGAAGAACCGCCTCTGCCCATCAGTCGTCCAGGTAAACTATGTGTTAGGATGATTAGGACTTGATGAAGAGATTGACAAAATTTGAGAGCTCCTAGCCCTGTTAATGGCATGGGGATGCGGGTGGCGCTGTGGTCTAAACCTTGCCGTTCGGAAGGTTGGTGGTTTGAATCCCCGCGATGGGGTGAGCTCCCGTTGCTCGGTCCCAGCTCCTGCCAACCTAGCAGTTCGAAAGCATGCCAGCGCAAGTAGATAAATAGGTACTGCTCCAGCGGGAAGGTAAACGGCGTTTCCGTGTGCTCTGGTTTCCGTCACGGAAAGCCAGAGATCAGGCATAGGTAAGAAACTAAGAGTGATGAAGAAAAATTGAAAAGGTGAAAATAAAATTCTTACTGGGAATATATGTATATAACAACATCGATGAAGGTTTGTATTTCTTAAAAATTGAATGTTCTTGATAAGATTTTTGTTTTAACTCTCTATTCTTTCTATTCTTCTTCATCTTTTTCCTTTTCTTTTCTATTTCTTTGGTGTAGATCTTTTCATTATAACAGAACATTGTATTTTCATTATGTGTAATTTTAAATGTGTAAATAAAGATATATTTCTTTAAGGTTTTTGCCACAGGTCACTTGTTGGACGTGATGGGATTAAGGGACGCGGGTGGCGCTGTGGGTTAAACCACAGAGCCTAGGACTTGCCGATCAGAAGGTTGGCGGTTTGAATCCCCGCGACGGGGTGAGCTCCCGTTGCTCGGTCCCTGCTCTTGCCAACCTAGCAGTTCGAAGTGCAAGTAGATAAATAGGCACCGCTCTGGCGGGAAGGTAAGCGGCATTTCCGTGCGCTGCTCTGGTTCGCCAGAAGCGGCTTAGTCCTGCTGGCCACATGACCCGGAAGCTGTACGCCGGCTCCCTTGGCCAATAAAGCGAGATGAGCGCCGCAACCACAGAGTCGGTCACGACTGGACCTAATGGTCCGGGGTCCCTTTACCTTTTAAAGAGGAGGTTGCTGAATTGTAGGGTATAAGATGACCAGGGCGTGACCTGCAACTTCATACTGTATATACCATATATTTCGCTCTATAAGACACACCAGACCATAAGACGCACCTAGTTTTTGGAGGAGGAAACCAAGAAAAAAAATATTCTGAATCCCAGAAGCCAGAACAGGAAGAGGGATCACTGCGCAGTGAAAGCAGCAATCCCTCTTGCTGTTCTGGCTTCTGGGATAGCTGCGCAGCCTGCATTCGCTCCATAAGACGCACACACATTTCCCCTTACTTTTTAGGAGGGGAAAAGTGAGTCTTGTAGAGCAAAAAATACGGTATATTAAAAAACCTATGTACCCTCCTTTAAAGCAGCCTCTTTCTCTTGTTGAAGGAACGGGCCGATAAGTGCTTCTTCGGCTCACGCTGCCGTTTCCTACACAGCGTCAAAGAATATATGGCCACCAAGCCGCCGGACCTGGGAGACACCTGCATACTCTTCAAGATGTTCGGCAGGTGCATGTATGGGGTGACCTGCAGGTTTGCTGCAGCCCACCTGGGCGAGGACTACGAGAACGTCATCAATGAAGGCCTCTTGAAGCAGCGGGAGGGGAAGCCGCCAGCCGTGAAGAACAGCCTCAGCAAAGACCTCCAGCAGCAGCTGCGCAAAAAGAAGTTCCCTTTCGAAAAGTCCAACCAGTACCTCTGCCGCTTAGCTAAGCCCAACCACGTGAAGGGGGCTGGGAGGCAAGCGGCGGTCCCACAACCCGCCGTGGGGAGAGAGGCCGCGGACTCTTCCGCCTCCCCAGGAAGTGTGGATCTCAGAGCTGCAGGAGAAGAGGCGGCAAAGGTTGCTCCTTCGCCGCCAAACGAAGGTCCCACGGTGGAGGAACCGGAGAGTCCAAGTCAGCCGCCGGCCGCAATGGAATCCGCACTCAAAACGTCTGGGGTTGTGACAGATGAAGATCTTGTGAAAGTCAGGCCGTGCGAGAAGAGAAAGGTAAGGGCTGTTTGTGTTACCATATACAGTCATAACTCAGGTTACAGACGCTTCAGGTTGGACACACCGAAACCCAGAAGTATTGGAACGGGTTACCTCCAGGTTTCGGCTGTCGCGCATGCGCAGAAGCACTAAATCGTGCTTTGCGCAGAAGTGCCAAATCGCAACCCACACGTGCGCAGATGCGACGCTGTGGGTTGCGAACGTGCCTCCCGCATGGACCACGTTCATAACCCAAGCGTCCACTGTATATATTTTTTTGTTATTCAGAGCGATGCAGAGGTTTCACCCTCAAACCTCAGGGATGAATTAGACTCCACACACAGGACTTGAAGATGAATCTTTACAGCGGTACCTCGGGTTACATACGCTTCAGGTTACATACGCTTCAGGTTACATACTCCGCTAACCCAGAAATAGTGCTTCAGGTTAAGAACTTTGCTTCAGGATAAGAACAGAAATTGTGCTCCGGTGGCGCGGTGGCAGCAGGAGGCCCCATTAGCTAAAGTGGTGCTTCTGGTTAAGAACAGTTTCAGGTTAAGAACGGACCTCCGGAATGAATTAAGTACTTAACCTGAGGTACCACTGTACTTGTCAGGATGGCAATAATTGAGCAGTTTGCATTATTCATATATATTAAGTCCAGTGCAATGCATTTCTCGCCCTTGAGCCCAAGAGAGGGTTTAGTCCTTTTGATTTCAAAACTCATTCATGTTGTTGTTGAGTCGTTTAGTCGTGTCCGACTCTTCGTGACCCCCTGGACCAGAGCACGCCAGGCCCTCCTGTCTTCCACTGCTCCCGCAGTTTGGTCAAACTCATGCTGGTAGCTTCGAGAACACTGTCCCACCATCTCGTCCTCTGTCGTCCCCTTCTCCTTGTGCCCTCCATCTTTCCCACATCAGGGTCTTTTCCAAGGAGTCTTCTCTTCTCATGAGGTGGTCAAAGTATCATTTGTAGCAGTGCATGAATGATTAGCCCACAGCTAATAACCTCACCCTTCCTGACCCATGACTTGCATATTCATGATTTTGTCTTACAGCTAGATCTCCGCGAGAAGCTTTATTTAGCTCCTTTAACAACGGTAGGTAGATGATTGATTGATTGATTGATTGATTGATTGTTGTTTGTTTGTTTGTTTTATAGATCTTCCTTCATTGTAGGGAGTGGGCAGTGGGGTCCGGAAGGAGCACACTCCCCACCAGCAGGCAGCCACAGTCTGCCTGCATGCGTGACCCTGGGGTGCAGGGCACATCCCCCCCCCAGACAAGCCACAGCTGTCTGAACATCGTTCCCTCCGTCTGACCTTTTGCGGTCTCGGCAGTCTGCGGTGTCCTGTCTGTAACCTTTGTCCCTGAGACCTTTTGTCTCCTTCGTCATACACCGTGCAAGGGGAAAAGGACGCGGTGGAAACAGGTGCCAAAATAACTTTGTACCACCCCACGATCTCGGGGCTGGAAGATGTGTAAAGGTCACAGCCCAAAATGTATTTGCCTGGCTTGCATATTTGTCTCAATAAAAGGAGGCTCCACAGGGCTGGCGGGCAGCTTGCATGCAGCTGACCTGTGCGCAGCTCACTGATGATCACCCCAAAGGAGGGAGTCAGGCTGCGCCCTTGCCAAAGACCTGGTGGAACAACTCTGTCTTGCAGGCCCTGCGGAAAGATGTCAAGTCCCGCAGGGCCCTAGTCTCTTGTGACAGAGCGTTCCACCAGATCGGAGCCACAGCCGAAAAAGCCCTGGCTCTGGTTGAGGCCAGCCTAACCTCTCTGTGGCCTGGGACCTTCAGGATGTTTTTGTTTGAAGACCGTAAGTTCCTCTGTGGGACATACCAGGAGAGGCGGTTTTAGGGGTAGTTTTTCAACAGCCTGGAACTGATTAATCCGTTTTGCATTACTTCCAATGGGAAAGCGCGCCTTGGTTTTGGAACGCTTTGGTTTTGGAACGGACTTCCGGAACGGATTAAGTTCGAGAACCAAGGTACCACTGTATTGGAACATTTGGCTGTGGTCTGGTTAGGAACAGGTGAAAAGCTGGAATTGTGAATTGGTTGAAATGGATGGAAAGAGGCCTGGCACTTCGCTGCAGCGCCAGCAGCTATTCCCATTCAGCCCTCACATGCTTCATGTTGTGAGATCGGACCGTGTCTTTGTTTAGACGTGGTGTCTTGCTTGTGCTGTCTTGAGACCTGCCCCGAGGCAACCGTAACACTCCATTCTCCTGATTTCTTCCGGGGATTCCAGTGCGGCAACCTTCCTTTCCGAAGAATATGCAAGCGGTTTGGGGCGGACGTCACCTGCGGCGAGATGGCCGTTTGCACGAACCTGCTCCAGGGGCAGTCGTCCGAGTGGGCATTGCTGAAGAGACACAACACAGAGGATCTTTTTGGCGTTCAGGTAGATTGAAGGCAGACTCGCAATACGGCCACACCGGGGGACGGGGAGAGGAGAACAGGAGCAAGCCGCTTCTGAGGCTAATGGAGATGGCCTTGCTGGACTTCCCCTGGCTGCCATGATGCTCAAAGTGGTTCCCCATGGCTGGTGGCAGAGGCCGGACTTTGCTCCCTTTCACCTCTGCCTTCCCACAGCCGCTGGATGTTGGAGAAGAGAGTTCTTCCTGTTGGGAGGAGAGGGAGAGAGAAAGCTTTCTGCAGCTCCTGAAGGAGCGTCTCCACCCCCATCGTTCTGTCCGGACACCCAGGTCCAGCTCAGAGGACCTTCTGGCAGTTCCCTCCCTGCAAGAAGCAAAGTTGCAGGGAACCAGGCAGAGGGCCTTCTCGGTGGTGGCGCCTGCCCTGTGGAACGCCCTCCCATCAGATGTCAAAGAAATAAACAACTATCAGACTTTTAGAAGACATCTGAAGGCAGCTTTTACAGTGGTGCCCCGCAAGACGAATGCCTCGCAAGACGAATGCCTCGCAAGACGAAAGGGTTTTCCGTTTTTTGAGTCGTTCCGCAAGACGAATTTCCCTATGGGCTTACTTCGCAAGACGAAACGTCTTGCGAGTTCTTGCGAGTTTGTTTCCTTTTTCTTAAAGCCGCTAAGCCGTTAATAGCCGCTAAGCCGCTAATAGCCGTGCTTCGCAAGACGAAAAAACCGCAAGACGAAGAGACTCGCGGAACGGATTAATTTCGTCTTGCGAGGCACCACTGTAATATCTGATGAATTACTGTATTTTAGTATTCTTCTGGAAGCTGCCCAGGGTGGCTGGGGAAACCCAGCCAGATGGGCGGGGTATAAATAATTTTATTATTATTATTATTATTATTATTCCTCCTCTGGCTGATAGATGCTCCCGCATGGGAAGCTAATAGGTCTCGATAACCCTCCCCTCCAGGAATTCCCTTTTAAGGCCCTCTTTAACCAAAATCCATTGCCAGCTTCATCGGTAGTTAGCAGAAGTAAAGGTGGAAGATGATATACTTTGGTTGAGGGTTGTTTTGTTTTTAATACAGTGGTGCCTCGCAAGACGAAATTAATCCGTTCCGCGAGTCTCTTCGTTTAGCGGCTATTAGCGGCTATTAACGGCTTAGCGGCTATTAACGGCTTAGCGGCTTTAAGAAAAAGGAAACAAACTCGCAAGAACTCGCAAGACGTTTCGTCTTGCAAAGCAAGCCCATAGGGAAATTCGTCTTGTGGAACGACTCAAAAACGGAAAACCCTTTCATCTAGCGAGTTTTTCGTCTTGCGAGGCATTCGTCTTGCGGGGCACCACTGTACTGTCTCCTTGTTCTGGGTATTATAAACCCTCGTTTGGAGTTGCCTTCGTTCTCCTAAACGATGGTTGACACTGGCCATAGTTGGTTGCGTTTAGACATAGCAGGCTGGGGCCGAGGCAGGAGCTCCCAAAGTCCTTGCAGCACTGGAGGGAGGAGTGGTGGAGCTCAGCCATGGTGCTCAAGCGTTTTGCACTAAACCGTAGTCTTAAGTCTGCCATGCCTGTCTTTTCACTGTATTCTATTGATACGCTCTTTTGATTTATGTAATTCGTGCTGAGTGGGGTGCAGACCTCAAAAAGGCGGGTTGGGGAATTCTTGCAGATAGTTTGGCACACATGCAATCAGTGGCGTAGCGTGGGGGGTGCAGGGGGGGCCGGCCGCACCGGGCGCAACATCGGGGGGGGCACTCGCCGCCTCCGGAGTCGCCGAAGAGCCTCGGGTGCAGGCTGTAGCAGAGCCCCATGTCTCGCGGAACCGACGAGCTGGCAGCGGCTCTCAGCGCTCGCCGCGGTCCCCGCGCGTCAGGGCCGCGGAGGGCGCGCCAGGCAGCCCCTCCTCACAGCCCTGCTGCTGCAGCTGCTGGGCCATGTTGCATTTTCCTCGCCTCTCTGCCCTCCTCCTCCTCCGGGCAAGCGGCGTCGTTTGGGCGGCAGCGCCAGCGGCAACACGCCTCAGATCACCTGACACGGACCCGCCGCCGTGGCTACCTTACCGTAAATACCCCAGCCCAGGCAGCAGCAAGAAGAAGCTGGCAGCGGCGGCAGGTTAGGGGTTAGGGGGCACAAATTACTTGCCTTGCCCCGGGTTAGGGGGCGCAAATTACTTGCCTTGCCCCGGGTTAGGGGGCGCAAATTACTTGCCTTGCGCCGGGTGCTGACAACCCACGCTACGCCGCTGCATGCAATGCCTATAAGCTGCTCTCGTGAGTTGGGGCACCCCTTTGACCCTCTTTCACCCTACGCCTCTGCAGCTGGAAGGAGCGTTCCCAGACACCATGACCAAGTGTGCAGAGCTTCTCAACCGGACCATCGAAGTGGATTTTGTGGACATCAATGTGGGCTGCCCAATCGACCTCATCTATAACAAGGTAGCCCATTGAGCCCTTTCAAGCACTAAAAAGGTAAAGGACCCCTGACAGTTCAGTCCAGTCGCTAACGACTCTGGGGTTGCGGCGCTCATCTTGCTTTATTGGCCAAGGGAGCTGACGTTTGTCCTCAGACAGTTTTTCTGGGTCATGTGGCCAGCATGACTAAGCCGCTTCTGGCGAAACCAGAACAGCACACGGAAACGTCGTTTACCTTCCCGCCGCAGCGGTACCTATTTATCTACTTGCACTTTGACGTGCTTTCGAACTGCTAGGTTGGCAGGAGCAGGGACCGAGCAACGGGAGCTCACCCCATCATTGCGGGGGTTCGAACCGCCAACCTTCTGATCGGCAAGTCCTAGGCTCTGTGGTTTAGACCACAGCACCACCCGTGTCCCTAAGGGGAAATTAGGGGGAGGGACTAATCCGAGGGGACTCAGGGGAATTCATTTCAAGTGTGGCACCCTCAGAAACAAATCAGAAGGGAAAAGCTTGGAGTCATGTGTTTCGGAATCAACCTACATATTTATAGTTTTCTTCTCCTTGACGTGCTTAAGCTTCCAGGTCATGCTGGCCACGTGACCCAGAAAGACTGTCTGCGGACAAACGCCAGCTCCCTCGGCCTGTAAAGCAAGACGAGCGCCGCAACCCCAGAGTCGTCCACGAATGGACTGAACTGTCAGGGGTCCTTTACCTTTACCTTTAAGTTTCCCTTCACAATTCAACTCAGCCCGTTACTTAGCTTGGAAGCGATGGGGAGCCTCAAAGGAACTTCTCCAAGTCTTACAAAATTGCAGCCCACCTTTTTTTTCTTTTAAAGTAAAACTTCTGCCAAGTTGACACCTCTCCCTCCTTCAAGCTGATGGACCTGTGGCTAAACCTATGGGAAGCCCAGACCATCGAGGACCGAAATCAGTTCTGAGATTATGACCTTCACCCTCCCGCCCCCCAGTGATCTTTCAAAACGCGCTTCACTCTCCTCTCCTTTCTCTTCCCAGGGGGGAGGATGTGGCTTAATGAGCCGCCCCAACAAGTTCGAGCAGATTGTCCGAGGCATGAACTACGTAAGTTGGGGTCGGGTGTGTGTTTTTTCTTGGCTGGCTCCTAGCAGTCCTGGATTTCATCCGTGCTTCTGTTCCCCCACGCTGCTCCTTTTTGCAACCACGGTCATCCTCTTCGTATCAGCTTTGCACAGCGTCACATAATCTGCAAGCTTTGACCCGTTTATTGGCTCCTGCTTTGCGGTGAATGTGTCCAGGGTCCAGGGCAGACCAGCAAGATGGGTGGGGTATCATAATCATCGCAAGATTATGATTACAAGGCCCTTGTGGTGGGGCATGAGGTTCTTCGATACGGTAAGATAATCGATACGATAATCTTTATTGTCATTGTCCCATACAGAACAACGAAACTGAAAAAATCTACATCAGACATTCAAAAGCCAACAAGCCTGCTATCCCAACTATCCCAGCCTGGTTAGCCCCCTAAAAGCTCTGATACCCCATAATACAATATACTCCCATAGAGACTACCTTGCACTGCGTTTAAAACCAAAATCGCATTTAAACAGAAACTGTTTCTCAGGCGGCTAGTCCTAGTCTTTAATCCCTGTACCTTCTTCCAGAAGGCAGAAGCTGAAAGAGATAATTTCCGGGGTGCGCACTGTCCTGAGCTATCTCTGCAGCTTTCTTATGGCACCTGGAAGCATAGATTTGATCCAAGGTGGGAAGAGTGCACCCAATTATTCTCTCCGCAGTCTTTACAACCCTGGACAGCATTGTTTTTCCCTAGCCGTGCAGCTCCCAAACCACTCTTAGTTGTGGGGTGCTGGCTTTTGGATTACTCTACTCTGTGGGCCTCTCTTTGCATTCTCGGAGAAGCCGTTGGTGAAAGCTTTCGGCAAAGGAACCTCCAAAGAGTCCAGCTTCATCGCTCTCAGGTTCGGCTCCCGAGGCACACTTTGCTTGGCTCACCGTTCCTCTTTTCCTCGGCAGGTGCTAGATGTTCCCTTGACCGTGAAGATCCGGACCGGGGTGCAAGAGAAAACCAACCTGGCTCACAAGCTAATTCCCAGCATCCGGGAGTGGGGTGCCTCTATGGTCACGGTACAGTAGCCTTCCTTAAGCCACATTCAGAATCATAGAATCATATAATCATAGAGTTGGAATAGACCACAAGGGCCATCGAGTCCAAGCGCCTGCCAAGCAGGAAACACCATCAGAGCACTCCTGACATATGGTTGTCAAGCCTCTGCTTAAAGACCTCCAAAGAAGGAGACTCCACCACACTCCTTGGCAGCAAATTCCACTGTCCAACAGCTCTTACTGTCAGGAAGTTCTTCCTAATGTTTAGGTGGAATCTTCTTTCTTGTAGTTTGGATCCATTGCTCCGTGTCCGCTTCTCTGGAGCAGCAGAAAACAACCTTTCTCCCTCCTCTATATGACATCCTTTTATATATTTGAACATGGCTGTCATATCACCCCTTAAGCTCCTCTTCTCCAGGCTAAACATGCCCAGCTCCCTTAGCCGTTCCTCATAAGGCATCGTTTCCAGGCCTTTGACCATTTGGTTGCCCTCCTCTGCGACACGTTCCAGTTTGTCAGTGTCCTTCTTGAACTGTTGGTGCCCAGAACTGGAGATGAGCAGTAACTTCATTTTAAAAAAACCAAAAACGCACACACCCTACTAGATCAGGACTAAAGTTACACCATCTAGGCCAGGGGTTGTCAACCTGGTCCCTACTGCCCATTTGTGGGCATTTCAGGATTCTAGGTGGGTGGTAGGGGTTCTACGGCACAAGCTGAATCCTCCTTCCATTGAGCCCTGGTAAGGAAATTTTATCGAGAAAGATGCATTAGTGTGCGGTAGGTATAAAAAGGTTGACTACCCCAATCTATGGGACACGGGTGGCGCTGTGGTCTAAACCACAGAGCCTAGGGCTTGCTGATCAGAACGTCGGTGGTTCGAATCCCCGCAATGACGGGGTGAGCTCCCGTTGCTCGGTCCCTGCTCCTGCCAACCTAGCAGTTCGAAAGCACGTCAAAGTGGAAGTAGATAAATAGGTACCACTTCGGCGGAAAGGTAAACGGCGTTTCCGTGCGCTGCTCTGGTTTGGCAGAAGCGGCTTAGTCATGCTGGCCACATGACCCAGAAGCTGTCTGCGGACAAACGCCGGCTCCCTCGGCCGGTAAAGTGAGATGAGCGCCACAACCCCAGAGTAGTCTACGACTGGACCTAATGGTCAGGGGTCCCTTTACCTTTACTTTACCCCTGATTTATGCCAATATTCTGTTGTCTCCAGCAACAGATTTTAATTTTATTTTATTTATCATCATATTATTGTATTATTGATTACCATATTTTTTGCCCTATAGGACGCACTTTTTCCCCTCCAAAAATGAAGGGGAAATGTGTGTGCGTCCTATGGGGCGAATGCAGGCTTTCGCTGAAGCCTGGAGAGCGAGAGGGGTCGGAAGCTATCTGCAAGCCGTGGGAGCCCGGTGCAAAGTCGTGCAGCTCTCCCACAGCTTGCGGAGAGCTGCCCTGCATCCTGAAGCCTAGGGCAAATATCCACAAGCCTGGGGAGACCGGCGCGGAGAGATCTCACACACCCCTTAAAATGCTGCCTTTGAGAAGCCCCTACACGAGACACAAAGGCGTCAGTCTTCCCCCGCTCTTGCCCTTTGGCAACCAATATCCTAAAGTAGGCGGTCTCTGCATGTGGAGGTTCTGTGGTGCAAAGGTTGTGGTGGCTGGTAGACCACATCTCTGTTCTTACCTAAGCATTTCAAAAAGCGGTGTGTATTGTCATTTGAATCTGTGACGGAGGCGTCAACTGTCCCTTTTCTGACCCCGTTAGCTTCATGGCCGGTCGAGGGAGCAGCGGTACACAAAGGCGGCAAACTGGGAGTACATAGCAGAGTGCGCAAAAATTGCCAGTCCGATGCCTCTTTTCGGTAGGTAGTTCTGTTCTTTCCGCGCGCTGGTTTTGCTTCCTTTGCAACATATTTGGGGCTTGGAGGTAATGCTTTGCTGCAGTTTTGGGCCTCAGATTGCTTTGGCTGGGTTTGCCTCCCTCTCCATCAAGCCGCCTTTTCCTCCTCCTCCTTCTGAATGAATTTTATTATTACGGTCACAGACCAGTTCCGGCTCACTTACAGTATCAGGAAAATCATAAAACACAACAGGAATACAGTGAATTGCAATTGGGAATAACAGAGACAATTAATAATAATAATTATTTTTATTTATAGCCCGCCCTCCCCAGCCGAAGCTGGGCTCAGAGCGGCTAACATCAAATGTATAACACATTAACATAAAATCAGACAATCAATTAAAATACATCCTCAAATTCAGATATAGCGGCAGTTAAAAATATATATTAAATCTTGATCATTAAAATATAACCTAAAATTGTCATTTAAAACCTCAGTCATTTTGGTAGTACAGCTTGCTCCCTGAGTTTTATGGCAGCCGCACAGAATTCTGATTCTGCGATCTTTGGGAAAACCCCTTTTCTCTTGCCATACAGTTAACCTTCCCATATTTGCGCTACCGCCCGGCCCCACCTTCCCACAGCGCAAGAGCTCAATGAAGTAAGTTCAGGACAGGCAAAAGACCCCTAACTTGTGGGATGAATTAAGATGGTGATAAATGTCTAGGGGGAGGAAGAGAGGTCTGGCGGCTATGACCACTAAAACAGAACCTCTGTATTCAGATGCCTTCTACCCCAGTTCCAGTTGCTTGATGATTGGCGGAGGGGGAGGGGCAACAGCAGAGAAGGATTGCTGTCTTCAGTCGCTTCCTGGAAGCATCTGGCTGGCTACTGGTCAAAAAACAAGATGCTGGTCCATATAGACCTTCCTTAGTCCGGCCCATCAGGACTCTTCTTTGTAGATCAGTGGTCAGCAGCCGAACTGGCCTGTGGGCTGCCACAAAGAATGTCACGGGGGTCAAGGAGCGAATCGTTTCTCTCCTCCTCTCTGAAATCTCTAGATTGGACTCTTGGAGGTGAGTGAAGACTACAGGAGACGTGTGGCTCGTCGTTGCCTGGTCATTCTGAACAGTTTCTCTCTTTTTCAATAAATGCTTTGGATTTGAGAAGCTCTTTTTAGTGCCATCAGGGACGCGGGTGGCGCTGTGGGTTAAACCACAGAGCCTAGGACTTGCCGATCAGAAGGTTAGAATCCCCGTGACGGGGTGAGCTCCCATTGCTCGGTCCCTGCTCCTGACAACCTAGCAGTTCGAAAGCACGTCAAGTGCAAGTAGATAAATAGGTCCCGCTCCGGCGGGAAGGTAAACGGCGTTTCCGTGCGCTGCTCTGGTTCGCCAGAAGCGGCTTAGTCATGCTGGCCACATGACCCGGAAGCTGTACGCCGGCTCCCTCGGCCAATAAAGCGAGATGAGCGCTGCAACCCCAGAGTCGGTCACGACTGGACCTAATGGTCAGGGGTCCCTTTACCTTTTAGTGCCATCAAGTAGGGGCAGGCTTGGACCGGAAGCTGCCTGCTGGTTCTCCCTTCCCAGTCCTGTTTCTTAGATAGTAAACTTCCTGGGCAGCGCTCTGCATGCTGCCGCCGCAAAATAAGCAGGCAGGAGGAGGTGTCTTGGATGTTAGCGGTTTTTTGTGCAACCTCAACCTCATTTACAGACAGGGCTGTTTCAAATCCATTTACAGTCGTACCTTGGTTTTCAAACGCCTTGGGAGTCAAATGTTTTCGCTCCCAGAGATCGAAAAGCACAAATGATTGTTCCGGTTTTGAAAAGTTCTTTGGAACTCAAATGTCCAGTGCGACTTCCACTGCTTCCAGTTGGCTGCAGGAGCTTCCTGCACCCAACTGGAAGCCGCGCCTTGGTTCCCGAATGTTTTGGAAGTCGAACGGACTTCCGGAACGGATTCAGTTTGACTTCCAAGGTAACACTGTACTTGCAAAAGGCATCGCTGTGGCCAGGGGCAGTTGAAAGAGCCATAAATAAGTGCTTGGAACTATTAAGAGAAACAGTTAATAATAATAATAATAATAATAATAATAATAATAATAATAATAATAATATTTATATACCCCACCCATCTGGCTGGGTTTCCCAACAGAATATTAAAAACGTCAAACGTTAAAAACTTCCCTAAACAGGGCTGCCTTCCCTAAACAGGGCTGCCTTCAGATGTCTTCTAAAAGTCAGGCAGCTGTTTATCTCCTTGACGTCTGATGGGAGGGTGTTCCACAGGGCGGGCGCCACCACCGAGAAGGCCCTCTGCCTGGCAAACTGCATCTGAAGCATTGGGGATTGCTTTGGTGACCCCTGAATTATTTTTTCCTTTTGGCGCAGGGAACGGAGATATCTTGTCTTTCGAAGATGCTAATCAAGCCATGCAGAGTGGAGTTTCGGGAATTATGATTGCTCGGCAAGTGTCTTCCCTTCGTTTTGGGTGGTCTGGAGGAGAGAGCACCCTTCGTTACCCTCGTGGGTTTTTTTCCAAGCAGAAGGTCCACGTTCAGTCTCCGGCTTCTCCAGCTATGGCTGGGAAAAACTCTAAAACCCTGGAAAGCCAGTCAGTGGCTGGGTTCTGACACAACTCATGGATCAGCCTTTAGTCTGCGTGTGATCTCTCTGCTTGTGCACGCAGCTCAAGTTCTGCTTTGCAGGGAAACAAGCTGCAGAGCAGTTGGCTTACAGTTGTGTAGCTTGCTTGACTCCAAGCTGCAGCACGCATTAGCATGCAGCTCATGCACAGACGTAAGGTCCTTTGTGGCTTAGGGGTTGTGTGAAAGCTCAGCCAGTGAAGACAGTACAGTCGTACCTTGGTTTTCGAACAGCTTAGTTCCCAGATGTTTTGGCTCCTGAGTGCCACGAACCCGGAAGTGATGGCTCCGGTTTGCAAACTGCCGTATTTTTTGCTCTATAAGACTCATTTTCTCCCTCCTAAAAAGTAAGGGGAAATGTGTGTGCATCTTACGGAGCGAATGCAGGCTGCGCAGCTATCCCAGAAGCCAGAACAGCATGAGGGATTGCTGCTTTCGCTGCGTAGCGATCCCTCTTGCTTGTTCTGGCTTCTGAGAGTCAGAATATTTTTTTTCCTTGTTTTCCTCCTCCAAAAACTAGGTGCATCTTGTGGAAGTTGAACGTCTGGGGCTTCCTTGGCTTCTGATTGGCTGTAGGGGCTTCCTGCAGCCAATCGGAAGCTGCGCCTTGGTTTCTGAACGTTTTGGAAGATGAACGGACTTCTGAAACAGATTCCGTTTGACTTCCAAGGTTCTACTTCCAAGGTAGTAACTTAGATGGTCCGGCACAGAGTTCACTGAGTTCCAAGGCTAAAAATGTACCAGTGTATGAAGGCAGGTTCACAACTTCATTTCCCAGCCCCAAAGGACTAAGGTTAAGATTGCCATTACAAAATCATTTCCAGCTGTAATAGCAGAAGCAGGCGTGGTTGTCACAGAAGACAGAGGCGGCAAGGATCCTCATTTTGAAAGAGTGCATAGAGCTAAACAGAAATAAGGGACGCGGGTGGCGCTGTGGGTAAAAGCCTCAGCACCTAGGGCTTGCCGATCGAAAGGTCGGCGGTTCGAATCCCCGCGGCGGGGTGCGCTCCCGTTGCTCGGTCCCAGCGCCTGCCAAACTAGCAGTTCGAAAGCACCCCCAGATGCAAGTAGATAAATAGGGACCGCTTTCTAGCGGGAAGGTAAACAGCGTTTCCGTGTGTGGCTCTGGCTTGCCAGAGCAGCGATGTCACGCTGGCCACGTGACCCGGAAGTGTCTCTGGACAGCGCTGGCCCCAGGCCTCTAGAGTGAGATGGGCGCACAACCCTAGAGTCTGTCAAGACTGGCCCGTACAGGCAGGGGTACCTTTACCTTTTACCTAAACAGAAATAAAAGAGAATCATTCTGGGCCTTGCTGAACATAACACTATACAGTAATGGTTGGGGGGGTGAGGAGGAGAAGAGACTTGCTTAAGATCCACGTGGTCGATCATACGGTAGCCTAAGACCACATTATAGCCACGTCTTTCTAAAGGACATGGGTCAGGTATCTGCCACTGCCGCTGTTACTACCCCTGCACACAATTCTGTCTTTTGCTATTGTTCATTGGTCATGCATCTGTTTGCAAGGAGAAGGCTCCAGTTCGGTCCCCGGCATATGGGAAAAGGCTCCGAGGGGATCACTGACTGGCAAATTGCCCTCTCCTGTTCCCTTAGATTTTGCTGGTGGTGGGGCTGTTTGCCCATGGAATCGCCTGGGGGTATTGAATCATAATGATGGGATACTTTTGAATCCCAATAGTTGCCCTAGTGGGTTCTCGCTGTGCAAAAATATTCGGTGACGTTCTTGTGTTTCTCCTCGCACACTTACGTTCTGCCAGGGCGGCAGGGGACTTGGCTCTAGAACTTGAGCATTTCCCCGTGTGTGTACGCGTAGATTCTGCTCATGGTTTTCTCACGGCAGTCGTTCTTCCGGGTCACAGGGGGGCGCTGATCAAGCCCTGGATCTTCACTGAAATCAAAGAGCAGCGGCACTGGGACATCTCGTCGGGAGAGAGGCTCGACATCCTCAAGGACTTCACCAACTACGGCTTGGAGCATTGGGGATCGGACACGCAGGGAGTGGAGAAAACCAGGAAGTTTCTGCTGGAGTGGCTCTCCTTTCTCTGCAGGTAGAAGCTCCTCCTCAGCCCTTGCTAAGTCATTGCATTTTGCCTTTCCATCCGGGTATTAATAACAGCTGGCCTTTGGTTCTTGTAAGGAACTTATGGCAGTTCAGGTGCAAAACTTTTTTTTGTAAGGTAGGCAAGACTGGATCCTGCAACAAACATCTTAACACACCACTAAGTTTCTGCTGCGTGTAACACACTGTAGGGACATCCTACCCATCAGCTGCTCCTCAGGCTTTGGAGATTTTGAGAAACAGGTGCATGTACTTTAGAAGAAGAAGAAGAGTTTGGATTTGATATCCCGCCTTTCACTCCCTTTAAGGAGTCTCAAAGCGGCTCACATTCTCCTTTCCCTTCCTCCCCCACAACAAACACTCTGTGGGGTGAGTGGGGCTGAGAGACTTCAAAGCCTTTAAAAGCCTAGCTTGACACTGGGGAAAGCTAGAAGCTGGCTGCTAACGACGACCAGATACAGTGGATGTTTTTTAAAGCACTATATATATGCCTGCTTTTATAGGGACGCAGGTGGCGCTGTGGGTTAAACCACAGAGCCTAGGACTTGCCAATCAGAAGGTCGGTGGTTCGAATCCCTGCGACAGGGTGAGCTCCCGTTGCTCAGTCCCTGCTCCTGCCAACCTAGCAGTTCGAAAGTACATCAAAGTGCAAGTAGATAAATAGGTACCGCTGCAGCGGGAAGGTAAACGGTGTTTCCGTGCGCTGCTCTGGTTCGCCAGAAGCTGCTTAGTCATGCTGGCCACATGACCCGGAAGCTGTACGCCGGCTCCCTTGGCCAGTAAAGCGAGATGAGCGCTGCAACCCCGGAGTCAGTCACGACTGGACCTAATGGTCAGGGGTCCCTTTACCTTTACTATATGCCTGCTAAGTGTGAGTTCATAATATCACTGCAATTCAAATTGGGGCAGCATCAAGAGAGATAGCTGCCGCTTCTTCTTTCTTTATTCCTCAGTGGTGTTTCCCCTCCCACTTACTCAAAAAGGCAGGGCTTCGCAACAGCCTTTGACTCTGCCCTGTATCTCCCATGCTTATAGCTGCAGCTAGATTTTGAATAAGCCTAACTTCTGGGGTGAGTGAGAAGAGCAACCAAGATGAGGCTGTTCTCCTACTGTCATGGAAAATGAGTCTTCCTTTCTTCCTTTGGCACTTTGGCAGGCTGGAATGTGGGTGGCGCTGTGGTCTAAACCACTGAGCCCCTTGGGCTTGCTGATCAGAAGGTTGGTAGTTCGAATCCGCACAACGGGGTGAGCTCCTGTTGCTCTGTCCCAGCTCCTGCCAACCTAGCAGTTCGAAAGCACACCAGTGCAAGTAGATAAATAGGTACCACTGTGGTGGGAAGGTAAATGGCATTTCCGTGTGCTCTGGTTTCCATCACGGTGTCCCGTTGCGCCAGAAGTGGTTGAGTCCTGCTGGCCACGGAAAGCTGCCAGAAAGCTGTCTGCTGGCCACGAAAGCGCCGGCTCGCCTCAGCCTGAAAGCGAGATGAGCACCGCAACCCCTTAGTCGCCTTTAACTGGACTTAACTGTCCAGGGGTCCTTTACCTTTACTTTTTTACTTTGGCAGGTACATTCCAGCCGGCTTACTGGAGCGCCTACCTCAGAGGATTAACGAAAGACCCCCTTACTACATGGGCCGGGACTATTTGGAGACCTTAATGGCAAGCCAGAACGTGGGTGACTGGGTTAAGATCAGGTAAAAATGGTTTGAACTTCTGCCAAACAGTTGACAGTTTTCTGTGCATGTTAAGCACACAACTACATTAGCTATGTAGAAGTGAGGAGGAAGAGAGGGGGAGAAAAGATTATTTCAGCTGCTACGAAGGCAGAAATGTGGGTTTTGGCCCTTGAAGGGAGTGACTAGTTAAAGCTATTGCATCTGATGCAACACAAACCATGGGGCTTCCTATCTCCCAAATCCCTAAGACACCCAGCGGGAACAACTTTTCTGTCCCAAACCAGGACAAAACTATTCTAGCCCAGCTGTGTGGGAAGAGCAGCTCAGATCACTGGGCTGCGAATCTCGCTCAGATGACCTTGGGCTAGTCCTGATCTCCCAGCCTAACTTAACTCACGAGCTTGTTGAGAGGTGCAAATCTCACTCTGAACTCTTCTGAGGAACAAGAAGTACGAAAAGGGCAATGCAAATTCTCTCCCAACACCCCAGCTGAATTGCCTTCCTCTCTGTCATTCTTTCCATAGTTCCTTCTAGAAATTGGGGGAATGGCGTGCAGCGGTCTAAAAAGTGCACCTCTGAGATTTCTGTCATGGCATTTTTGCGCCCTATGGGGTTTTCATCTCATAATAAGAGTTCAGTGGCCTGTCGCTACTGTGGGTTAAACCACAGAGTCTAGGACGTGCTGATCAGAAGGTTGGCAGTTCGAATCCCCACGACGGGGTGAGCTCCCGTTGCTCGGTCCCTGCTCCTGCCAACCTCGCAGTTCGAAAGCTCGTCAAAGTGCAAGTAGATAAATAGGTACCGCTCTGGCGGGAAGGTAAACGGCGTTTCCGTGCGCTGCTCTGGTTCGCCAGAAGCAGCTTAGTCCTGCTGGCCACATGACCCGGAAGCTGTACGCTGGCTCCCTCAGCCAATAAAGCGAGATAAGCGCCGCAACCCCAGAGTTGGTCACAACTGGACCTAATGGTCAGGAGTCCCTTTACCTTTACCTTTTTAGCCTGTCATGCACAAAGTATCATCGCAGGTGTGTGTGTGCTGTTGGAAGAATCTAGAGACGTGTCTGCAGTTTTCCCAATTTCTCCTCCTTGCAGTGAGATGCTTCTGGGTCCGGTTCCTGCCAGCTTCACTTTCCTTCCAAAACACAAGGCAAATTCTTACAAGTAGGAGGACCGCCGTCGTTGGGGGAAGCGCTGTCTCCAATGCACATCTTGCATATCTCTTGGTTTTGAATAATAATAAAAAAAGTTCTTTTTTTTTTTTGGCTGCTGTGTGTAGTCTGCCTCAAAGATGATTTCCCCTGACAACCTCTCCTGGACATTTCAAGACGGCACCGATCCAGTATACATGCATTTCATTGTCTGATCCAGGGCGAAGGGGAGCGGTTAGCTGTTAAATAGCACATATGGAGTCCAGAGGGAAAGTCTCAGCAATGGTTTCAACTGGGGAAAGGGACAAAGAGGTTTTGCCCTGCCTTATGCATTAAAGGAAGACATTCAGCGAAACATACAGAGGGAAAACTCCCGCAGAATCGCACAGCCAATTAGAGGAGCTTCAACCTCAGCATAATAATAATAATAATAATAATAATAATTTTTTATTTATACCCCACCCTCCCCAGCCAAGGCCGGGCTCAGAGCAGCTTACAAGAAATAATAAAAACAAGATGAATGATTACAACATAAAAACAAAAATAAAATACAACGTTAAAATAATGGAACATTAAAATATTAAAATGTAGCCTCATTGCAGGAGGAGAAGGAAAAGAAAAAAGAAAGAGAGGGAGGGAATCAGATTGGCTCCAAGCCAAAGGCCAGGCGGAACAACTCTGTCTTACAGGCCCTGTGGAAAGAAATCAGATCCTGCAGGGCCCTGGTCTCATGAGGCAGAGCGTTCCACCAAGCCGGAGCCAGAGTTGAAAAGGCCCTGGCTCTGGTTGAGGCTAATCTAACTTCCTTAGGGCCCGGGACCACTAGGGTGTTGTTATTTATGGACCTTGAGGCTCTCCATGGGGCATACTAGGAGAGGCGGTCCCGTAGGTACGAGGGTCCTAGACCGTGAAGGGCTTTAAAGGTCAAAAGCAGCACCTTAAATCTGACCCTGTACTCCACCGGGAGCCAGTGCAGCTGGAAAAGCACTGGGTGAATATGCTCCCATGGCAGAGACCCTGTGAGGAGCATCATGCCACTCTCAACACCCCCCACTCCCTTAGGTGGAGAATGATTAACCCCTTAAGTTATAAAACTCTTGGGGGCCAGTCGCCACCTCTTGTCAGCTGAACCTACTTACAGGGTGGTTGTTGTGGATAAAATGGGGAGGAGGATAAATATGCCCACCCATCTTAAGCTCCTCAGAGGAAAAGGTGGGTATCAGAAATAATATTATTGCAGCATAGTATTATTTAGACCTTCCAAGTGTCCTTATTTTCCAGGGACAGTCCTGGACTTACTGAAGCCGTCCCGGTTTCTGATTTAATCCCGGGATGTCTTGCTTTTTCTTAGAACGCCTCTATTTTCATGACAGAAATGTTGGAGGGGATAGAGTCACTATAAACAGGAGTGCCCAAACTTTTTCCAAAGAGAACCAGATTTGATGAAACAAAAAAATTCCTTCCAGTAGCACCTTAAAGACCAACTAAGTTAGTTCTTGGTATGAGCTTTCGTGTGCACACTTCTTCAGATACACAGTGTGCACACGAAAGCTCATACCAAGAACTAACTTAGTTGGTCTTTAAGGTGCTACTGGAAGGAATTTTTTTGTTTTGACTATGGCAGACCAACACGGCTACCCATCTGTAACCAGATTTGATGAAGCGAACATGCGTGAGGGCCGACCAAAGTTGGTGAGCTTTTTTTAGAACTGAAATTGTTGATGAGCTTTTTTTAGGATTTGACCCCAAGAAATAAACTGACTTTGGACAGGCCTGCTATAAACCTTTGGAAGACACCTTGTGCTTTGCCGCACATTTCGGCTCCCAGACGCCGAAACCCCGGAAGTGTTTTTCAGAAGCCAAACGTCCAACGCGGCTTCCTGCAGCCAATCAGAAGCCGTGCTTCCGTTGCCGAACATTTCAGAAGCTGAACAGGCTTCCGGAATGGATTAAGTTAGACAACCAAGGTTTGATTGTATATATATTGGAAGCTGCTCAGAGTGGCTGGGGCAACCCAATCCGATGGGCAGGGCATAAATAATAAAATTGAAATGTCGACAGGTATGTATCACTGCAGGCAGATGCTTTCTCTGTACACTTGCTTTAAAAAAAAAAACCTTCCTACTTAGACAACTCTAGAAAGTTGAGGTGGTTTTAATCTGTTTTATAGCCTTTTGACTTTTCTTATTAAAGTATGGCTGTGGTTATTGTTATTATTATTCGGTCTTTTCATATACCTCTTTGAAGGTTTGTTTTCAATACTCAATCGATATATATATACAGTGGTACCTTGGGTTAAGTACTTAATTCGTTCCTGAGGTCCGTTCTTAACCTGAAACTGTTCTTAACCTGAAGCACCACTTTAGCTAATGGGGCCTCCTGCTGCACCACACGATTTCTGTTCTGATCCTGAAGCAAAGTTCTTAACCTGAAGCACTATTTCTGGGTCCCAGAAGTCTCTAACCTGAAGCGTATGTAACCTGAGGTACCACTGTGTGTGTGTGTGTGTACACACATACACACACACACACACACACATATATATGAAATTAATAATAATAATACAGTGGTACCTCGGGTTAAGTACTTAATTCGTTCCAGAGGTCCGTTCTTAACCTGCAACTGTTCTTAACCTGAAGCACCACTTTAGCTAATGGGGCCTCCTGCTGCACCACACGATTTTTGTTCTCATCCTGAAGCAAAGTTCTTAACCTGAAGCACTATTTCTGGGTTAGCGGAGTGTGTAACCTGAAGCGTATGTAACCTGAGGTACCACCAAAAATACAGTGGTACCTCAGGTTAAGTACTTAGTTGGAGATCCGTACTTAACCTGAAACTGTTCTAAACCTGAAGCACCACTTTAGCTAATGGGGCCTCCTGCTGCCAGAGCACGATTTCAGTTCTTATCCTGAAGCAAAGTTCTTAACCTGAAGCGTATGTAACCTGAGGTACCACTGTGTGTGTGTGTATACACACACACATATATATATATATATGAAATTAATAATAATAATAATAATAAATAAATAAATAAATGAAAATAAAATAACCCAAATTTATGAAGATAAAGCATAAGGCACTGAACCTCCCCGCTCCCCCCATTCCTCGCGTCCCTAAAGCGGCGCTCGAGCGCCACCTCCATGAGGACTAGCGCCCCGCCTGGCCCGCCTCCCTCCCGAGCGTCCGTTACAGGGCAACGGCTCGCGCTCTTCCTCCGCGCGGTCTCCTTGGCGACGCGACACCCGCCTCGCCTCCCCATTGGTCCGCGCCTCCTCCCCCCTCACTCCCGCCATCGGCATCTCTCCATTGGCCCAGGCCATCCCGGGCCGCCATTGGCCGAGGCGGCTGCCCGTTCCCGGAGCAGCGGTTGGGGGGAGGGGTTTCCGGTTCCGGCGTGGCGGCGGCGGCGGCGGCGGCGGTTGTAGCGCAGGAGGGAAAGGAAAAGGAGACTGTGGCGGCGGGCGGGGGGGGAGGGCAGGGCGGAGAGCGCTGAGGCGGGAGAGGCGCAGCAGGCCCCGAACCATGAGGCGGCGGCGGCGGCCTGAGGAGGCGGCGGAGCAGCAGAAGCAGCATCCCTGAGGGGAAGCCAGGCTAGGCCCAAAAGCCCAGCGGGACGGGAAGAGAAAGAGGCGGGCGGGCAGGCCGGGCCCAGCCATGGACAATCAGGTGAGGCGAGCGGGGGGGGGAGGGGCCGCTCTCGCCCCGCCCTCCCGCTCCACAAGAGGGGGGCGTGGCTTGGCTGCATTGGCTGCCCTTGCAGGCCCCGCCCCCCGCCTGGTGGAAAGGGGGCGGGGCTTGGGCGGCCCTGAGGGGGCGTGGCGCGGCTTGGCGGTGCCGCAGAGCCCTGGCTCCTCCCCTTGGTGGGCGGGGCTTCCTGCTGGCCTTTTTTCACCCTCGTGGCTACGCCCCTCCCATCACACACACACACGGGAGGGGGCGGGGCTCTGCCTCGTGGGTGGGCTGCCAGCTGCCAAAGGGGCGTGGCTTGTCACACTTGGGTTTGTGGGGTTGGGACCACCAGGGTCATCTAGTCTGACCCGCCCTCGCGATGCAGGGATTATTATTCTTATTATTTCTGTACATTTCCGAGCACAATTAGTGTGGACTCTGTGGCCAGAGTGGTGCATGCTCTGGTTGTCTCCCGCTTGGACTACTGCAATGCGTTCTACATGGGGCTGCCTTTGAAGGTGACCCGGAAACTGCAATTAATCCAGAATGCGGCAGCTAGACTGGTGACCGGGAGCGGCCGCCGAAACCATATAGCTCTGGTCCTGAAAGACCTACATTAACTCTCAGGACGTTTCCGAGCACAATTCAAAGTGTTGGTGCTGACCTTTAAAGCCCTAAACAGCCTCGGTCCAGTATACCTGAAGGAGCGTCTCCACCCCCATCATTCTGCCCGGACCCTGAGGTCCAGCGCCGAGGGCCTTCTGGCGGTTCCCTCATTGCGAGAAGCCAAGTTACAGGGAACCAGGCGGAGGGCCTTCTCGGTGGTGGCGCCCTCCCTGTGGAACGCCCTCCCACCAGATGTCAAAGAGAAAAATAACTACCAAATTTTTAGAAGACATTTTTAGAAGACATCTGAAGGCAGCCCTGTTTAGGGAAGCTTTGAATGTTTAATAAAGGTACCCCTGCCCATACGGGCCAGTCTTGACAGGCTCTAGGGTTGTGCGCTCATCTCACTCTAGAGGCCGGGAGCCAGCGCTGTCCGCAGACACTTCCGGGTCACGTGGCCAGCATGACGAAGCTGCTCTGGCGAGCCAGCACCAGCGCAGCACACGGAAACGCTGTTTTCCTTCCCGCTATAAAGCGGTACCTATTTATCTACTTGCACTGAAAGGTGCTTTCGAACTGCTAGGTGGGCAGGAGCTGGGACCGAACAATGGGAGCTCACCCCGCCGCGGGGATTTGAACCGCCGACCATACGATCGGCAAGTCCTAGGCGCTGAGGTTTTACCCACAGCGCCACCCGCGTCCCTTTTTAATGTTTAATAGGTTATTGTATTTTAGTGTTTTGTTGGAAGCCGCCCAGAGTGGCTGGGGAAACCCAGCCAGATGGGCGAGGTACAAATAATAAATTATTATTATTATTATTTGCCCAACAGTAT